TTCTTGATTCCACCATTGATCTCCTATATATTTAGATGAGATGAAAAAATAATTTTTTTTAAATATCTCGATACTTATGCAATTCGCATCTACCTATAATCAGAACTATCAGAAAGAGCAATGTCAAAAATCGAGAGTTCCCAATTTGAATCTACTAGAGATCACTAAATGAATTTGTGCACAAAAAAATTAAAAAAAAAAAAAAAAAAAAGCAATGAAATGCCAGCTATATGGTGTGGAAATGGTCATGGAGAGAGATGCTTAGTTGCTTGTAATAGGATTCTTCTTTCACTTTTAATGCACAACTGGTACTACCCTTTCATTCTTTCTTGAAGCAACCCAAAGCTGCCATTCCACGAGACGAGACCAAATGTAGTTTGGTGGCTAGTGCATATGCTTTTGTTACACAAGTTAAAAATGCCTTGGCTCACACTCACACTCTCAATAGGTCGAGGATTCTTTTGTCTTTCTAAACAAGAGTGAGTAAGGTTCTATGTTTATGTGCGCACTCGAAAGAAGGGGAAGAAAGTGTAATCTCGTCCTTAAGGTGCCCAACAGTGATCAATCAAACGAATTTTAAAGAAAGTGTTTTGTACTGAAGACAGAGATATCTAGTCCAAGATTGTCTATTTATGTTGAATGAATTGACTCTCTCTGATATTTATAAAATAGATATATTTGAGGTAGTAGATTATTATGCACAAAATAATGACATTGTCAAAGGGATGATATATATGCACAGTGACACCATAATAATAAAAGAGAAAATGTGTTTATACTTATAGGTTTTACCTCTTGTTTATAGAATTTTACTTTTGTGTAATGGAATTCTGAATCTTAGATGACTCTTCTGAAAGTCTATGTCCAAGTTCATAGCTGTCGTATTAGAATTAACATCAATTAAAGATTTTTTTTTTTTTTGCTCGTGTTACCTACCTTTTCTGTTACTCTTTCTCAGGCCTTTTAGAATATAAGGGTCTGTTTGATTGTGTTTTGGTTTTTTTGTTCTTAAAACTGTTTTGTAGAATAATTATGGAAACAGTTGTTTTCTATATTTTTTTATTTTGAAAGTTAAAAACCAAAACAGAAAACAAAAACAACCCAAACATGTTCTCTAAATTTGATTCTAAAAACAAAAAAAACAGTTACAATTTTTAAAACTTTTTTTACAAAACAGGCCTTACCCAACGAGTTTTTTTGTTTTTTTGTTCTAAAAACTAAAAAATTATTTTTGAAAACAACAGAGCCCAAGTCTTTCATATGGTCCTATAACATAAATAATTTGCCAATTTCTAATTTTAGAATGACCTTCCTACTACTATGCAGAAATAATGACAATATTTTTGGCAATTAGGGCTTATGATAAAATGATAAAAGCATGATTGTCCTCATTGCTCTAATCAATTTGTACTTTTAAGATTGTGATCTCCGTGCTGCGGGACTCAGTGTGCCATGATTCAATTTTCATAGAAGAACTACCATAAACAAATATAAAGGGTGTTGAACAGGGCTCTCTAGGACCCACATAATTACTTAACACCCAACTTTTTTGTAGATATGGTAATCATTCTAAAGACATAAAGAAACCTAAATTGCGTTGCTATGACATGTTCACATTCATAGACCAAACACAAAAAGGGCTATATATACCCATCTAGATAGTTCTTTTACTTTATGCATTTACATGATAGGATTGATTAGTTCAACTAACTAAACCAAGCTACCCAAAATATTGAATCCTTACATCACTGAATTATTTCTTCTACTTTATTGCCGATTCTCATGATAGAATTGACTTTATTACAAGTTGAAAGAAATTTTAATAGAAATTGAGTACTTGTGTAAAAATGTGATTTTCATGATATACATTTCCCCCTGGAAACAAACAGGGGCAGATACCCACCGTTCGGCATTAAATGAGGCCATTCAATGATTATTCATTATCAATTATGGACCTGTGAAGGTCAGTATGACCCACAACCTTACGTAATTGGGCCTTTTATAAAATGCCACAAGTGTTCTTCCTTTTCAAGTGGCCTATGTGTTTGTGCTCCCTTTGGGGGGCTAGAGAAATGGTGTCACACTTCCAAGTTCCATCTACCCCCACCACATTGATTCAAAGGCGCAGATTCCTAGTTCGGATTCTGTATGTTCTTAAAAGTTAGGGCAGTAAGGACTTTTCATTTGTTCAGTGTAACAGGAGTGAGAATAATGAAGTAAATAAAAAGTAATGTCAATATCAGTCACTACCATGAAAATATTGAGTAATTTTCAGTAACGAATTACACATGTTGCGACATGTCATTATTAACAGCGATGTCTTTGGTAAGGAGCTAATAAAATAAAACAATCATACCAGAGTAACAAGTTAGTACAAAAATCTGCTAACCTTGTTACTCTTACATGTCTCAAGCTTTAAATTATGGGTAAAACTAGTATCATGTAACATAATTTAAATAATTTTTCATACTCAAACAAAAATGTACATGGATCCCATACATATAATAAAAACAAAAAATAAAAAGTGATGGTGCGGAAATCAATAGATGAGTGGGTAAAAAACTTTACATCATGTTACATAATATTAGTTTTTCCCTTAAATTATTTAAATGCCCCTTTAGTTTTGGTTTTGATAATTGATTTTAGAAGTAATTGCATTTGTGAAAAATGATCATGATCATTACAATGTGAGAAAGGAAATGTTTTCCAGAATTGATTCGAAATCTAAATATTTTATCAAGCATGAAGGTATACACATTCAAATCGGATATAAATATGCAATTTGTGCAAAAGCGGGATCAAACTTGCCACGTGATGCGTGTTGTGAGATGCACATAGAGTGTATGTGTTCAAGTCACGAATAAGATAATGCAAAATTTATAGTGCAACACGTGACAAGCTCACACTCATCTTTGAATAAGTTGTGCATTATTCTTATCCTGGATTTAAATACGCTATTCTCATGCGTGACTTGAGCGTACACCTCTTGTATATGTCTCACTGCATTATCTTGACAATTTATTTATTTTTGAATTAATAAGATAAAATAGCTTCCTTTTCACGCCAAAGGAGTCAAAAGGCCTGAATTTAGGGTATAATACGAAACAATTGCATGAGTAAAAACTAGAAACACAAAATTTGAAGTTGGAAGCAATGCTTTTATATTCTCTCTTTTTCATCGTGGTTTGCTATATTAATTTCTAGATGGTAACTTTACAATGAGATGTGACTTAGTATTTTCACATCTCAATCAGTGCTTTAACTTTCCTTCACGTCTCATTTTGGAGTAGCTATGTGCCGACAAACTATAGTTACAGTAAAGGGCTCTATTTGACTGATCCTGCAAATTTTTTAGCCCAAGAAGAGTCATTCGTCGGTTTTTCATAGTGGGGAACAGACCCAGTGAGATAATAAAAAATGACATTTTTATAATTTTCTCCACCAAATCCAAATTACCATCATTCTCATCTTATTACAAGTCCCAGCTTAGCAAGAGATCGCACTCAGACTTCACCCAGTGCCACTGGCTATCATCTATGATCCTTTTGTCTCCGTTATTTCAGCTATATAGGACGAGTAATTTCAGCTACTACAAAGTCCCTAATCAAGAAGAAAAATGCATTATCCGGGGTTTGTTAAGGGTCGTAATTAACCTGACTAGGTCCAATGCATTGACAAATCCAAGGGCAGTGGTGGTAGTTTATCTTTACCTTTTGACGAATCCAAATATTGGGTGTTGCTTTTCAGTCTTCTCGAGGACCTTGGCACTAATTATTGGATTTTAAGTTTTAAAAACAATGACCACACACCGAAATTTGAAGTTTGCTTGAATCATTCTCGTTTGGGATTATGTACTTAAAACTGAAATTATGGAGAAAAAAAGTTTTTCAAAAATATTTTCAGTTTTCTCGTACAAATCTTAGAAATTTTTTTGTCTCACCTCACTTTCTCAAAAATTCTAAAAAAATCTTCATACCAAACAACTTATAATTATGTTAAGCCTCCTCCTCGTAACAGTGGAAGCATGATAAAATTTTGTATTTCTATCTCCATTCACAATCGAGTTACATCTTGAACGCTAAAACCAGATAAGTTCCTCTTTAATTTAATGTATATGTTATTCAGTTCCCCCTAGGGCACGTTTGTTATGCGATTTATTTTTGAGTGGGGAAAGTCAGGTAGGGAAAAATGTTAGCAATGTTTGGTAGCTCAAATCTGATGACTTTCTAGACGAAATTTGTTTACGGGAAAATATTTGTGTGATAAATTTTGTACTGTATAACAAATATGATATTCATAAAATAGGTGGATTTTTTCACTATGCGGGGAACCAAAAATTAAGCGCCAAATTAAAGACAAAATTGACCTTCATTTTGTCTTTCATTTTGTCTTCGAGAACGAAAAAGTTAGAATTTTTGAATGGTAATTTCTCACTAATATTTCGTAACCAACCAAACACAAATTAAGTAAAATAACCTTAATTTTTCCGGAAAAATATACGTTTACTAAACAGCTTTTTAATAATATTTTAGTACAATATATTTTCTACTACATTCTGGTAATAATTATTTTTCAAGATAAAAAAAAAAAAATTCTCTAGCAAACCTCGCCTTAAAGGTTATTTGTATATTCGCTCCAAATCATTATTGTGATTATCTTGTAGCTCCGCATCAAGACCTTCCAGACGAGCATGCAAACGAACTTATTTCATTTCCCTTCCGCTCAGTATTACATGTGATCCAAAACAATGTAAAGGATTAACTTTCGGGCCCTAATCCAGCTCAGCAGAATCTCAATAACATAGTCTAAATTGGGCTTTTTACCCTTAAAGGCCCAATTACAAGTGTCAACAACAAAATTTGCCACATAAGCCCAGAACAGCACTTTCAGAAGTTAGACTCCGCCGCCGTGAGCGGTCACCGCCTCCACCGTGCCTTCTGCTTAAAAGTTAAAACCCCCAAACTCTACCACGTCAAAGCAACGAAGAAGAAAAATCAATAACGGAAACAAGATGCGCGTGGCATTCACGATCGCTACTTTAGCTGCTATCATCTCCATCTTCTACACCGCACGACGCCATTCAAGGCGCAAGCAGCACAAGTCCCCTTCGAGTTCGTGCTATTTATATTCTGAACCAAAACCACAGTATGCGTTTAAGCGACTCTTAGCTGATAATTCCTACACTCCGTTCAAGCACTTGAATCTCAACGACTCCACTAGCAACGGTACATTTGTTTTCGTGTTTTCGCATGCCTTCGATTCTTTGAAGACTTTATGTGTGTGTGTGTGTGTGTGTGTGTGATTTTTGCATCAGGATAGAAAATTGAAGTTGATGAGTCCGGTTCAGTCTAGATTTCTTGAAAAAAAAAAAACATAGAATACTGAAAGCTAGATTGAGTTCTCTATGCAAGATTATAGAGATCAAGCTGAGTTTAGTGGTTTTCTTACAGAGAGTGCTTCGAATTCGCATCCGTTTGAGGCAGAGATTACGGCATTGTTGAAAAATCCTCAGCCTGAAATTGAACTTGGTACTGAGATCGTGGACATGGAAATGAATGATTCGTATGTTTGGATCGATACAGAGATGCAGTTAAAGCAACTGGTCGATGTATTGACCAAAGAGAGGTTCTTTGCTGTGGACACAGAACAACATAGCTTACGCTCTTTTTTAGGCTTTACAGCATTAGTTCAAGTAAGTTTGTGGTGCTTTCAACCCTCATCTCTAATTGCGTTATGCTAGTATTTTTTCTTTTTTTTTTTCTTTTTTGATAAATGTTTTGATACGCGTGTATTTTTTATGTTATCAAGCAGATTTCTACGCAGCAGAAAGATTATTTGGTTGACACAATTGCCCTGCATGATTTCATGGGAATTCTTCGCCCAGTTTTTGCCAACCCTTCAATTTGTAAAGTATGTAAGTGAATGGTACCATATTTCTAAACTTCTCAATAAATTGCTCTTTTTAAACCTAAATTTATTATTTTTAATAAAAAAAATTTATAATATATTGTAAGAATAATTCATGTTTTTTTTCTTTTGTTATATATGTAGCATGTGCCACAAATTTGGGATTAAAGCGTATTATTTATTGAAAATATTTTAGTTGATTTATTCCTCTGTGCTTTCGTTGTCCAAGTATGTTTATTGCAGTTTCTTTCTTCTTCTTTTTTTTTTCTCAATGGAAAATTTGTGGATAGGTGTTCCATGGGGCTGACAACGATGTTCTCTGGCTACAGAGGGACTTCCATATATACGTTGTTAATCTATTTGATACTTCCAAGGTGAGCTATTCATGCTGCTATCATGTCAACTGGCCATGTATTGGATACCATATACAGTACAGAAATTTCTCCTCATACGTGGTAGTGACTGGCAGCTTCTGTTTTATCAATGTGTGTTCATGTACTGCAGGCATGCGAGGTGCTGTCAAAACCACAGAAGTCGCTTGCTTATTTACTTGAAACTTACTGTGGTGTGACAACAAATAAATTATTACAGGTTTGACCTGATCGTCCTTGATCTCCTCCATTGGATGCGTTCATTGATTGTCTTCAACAAAGTTTTAGTCTTAAGTATTTACTATTTAGCATGAATATATTTAAGTACAATGTAATACCTAACTTTTCACATATTCATGTAATGAATAGCAGGCTGAATTCAACCTAGAATGAATTTGAGCATTAAAAGCACATTATAAAGTTCTGGCATCCTATGTGCTTTTCCCAAAGCATGGTAAACTTCTTGAGTGCCTTATCTAGAATGGGAGAATTTACTCTTCCATTCAAGGTGCTGTTTTTCTTTTAAAAAGCTTTTGTAACATTCTTTCTAATTTCTGTTTTTTCACTTGTATAGTCAGATTAACCATAATCATAATTTTCTTGTATGCACGGGATTAAAATTTTTATTTTTATTTTTTTGGTAATGGGGATTACATTTTTTTCTTGTAAAGGAATTTGACCCCAGGCATTTGAGATTAAGACTTGAATTTATTGAACTGAGACAGGGAAGTATATGTTAAAAAAAAAAAAAACTAAAATTGAATGTAGCTTAAATGGTGAATTTATACTAGAATTAGTGAACTAAAACAGGAAATAGTAGAAGTGTGTAAAAAGAAGACAATAACTGATGTAGCTTTAAACTTGAATAATGAATTCATTTTGGCAATCTTGAGGAGACATGCAAGAACAAAAATTATGAGTGGTGTAATTCAGATAATAATTTTATTCCGATTTCTTGTGGTCATTATTTAAATTAAAATTGAGGTTGCTCCTGCTGGGAAGAAGAGATTTCTAAATCATACATTAGAAAAGCTCCCTTTTCTATTGATTCAGTAGTAGTCATCTGAGCAATGAATCATATTGTACCAACAATTACATTGGCAATGAATCATTTAAAATTTTGTTACGTTAGTTGTTAATGATGTAGGCAGCTAGGCATTTAGTTTGAGGTACATTAATGAATTGAACTCGCAAACTTTTTTTACTTTCACATAGTAAAATGTTCTAAATAAGACGCAATCCTATTATTCTGGGTTTGGGATTTTTATTTTTTTTGGTGAATTATTTGGGATGTTTTTTAGTTAGTGACTTCAATTGATATTTCTTTTATATGCTTAATTTAGCGTGAAGACTGGAGACAGCGCCCTCTCTCTGCTGAAATGGTACATTATGCACGAACAGATGCACACTATCTGTTGTATATTGCAAACTGTCTAATCATCGAACTCAAACAACTGGACAACGGTATGCCTTCTTGTCTGATATTGTGATGAAAGAGAGAAAAAATAGAAACCAAAAATTTCTCTAATAAATATTAAGCATAAGTAGACTGAAATTTTGAAAACCTACCTCTTCAAGTTCTCTTTATCCTCCTTTATATCTTCCCCATGCCCCAAAATCAGTGGCTATGGAAATAAGCAGGTTCTTTTATACCTGAGAGGTGCAAGATCTGCAAACCATAATTATGGTATGGTCCTAAGCATTTTGCCGAGAGCGAGCCTTGGAGCACCAGTAAGGTTGCTTCTTGTGACTAGAAGATTATGGGTTCAAGTATGAAAAACAGTCTCTTTGCAAAACTGTAAGGATAAGGCTGGGTACAATCAACCCTCACCTCTACCCTCGCAAGTCGCAGGGGAGGGGGGGGGAGCCTATTGCACGGTGGGGTTCCCCTAATCATTTTGCCAGGATAAATTTTATGAACTAACTAAAGAAATGAGCTTTTTTCTTTGCCATTTATCAACTCAACAACTCTTTGGGACCTTTCTTTGTTAATATTATTGTGTCGAAATTCTGAATTTATTATTTTGTCAGGAAACAGTTGGTCTGATGACAAATTCCATTTTATTCTCGAGGCTAGTCGGCGTTCAAACATGACTTGCTTACAACTTTTCACAAAGGAGATCGAAGTTTCTCCCGGAGAATCTGCTGCATTATCATTACTTTCACGTCATGTGAGCAGTCAAGGCTTTCCTTCAATTTCCAATGAAACCCAGGTTTGCTACTTCCTGTAAAGATCTGAATTAGCGTGAGTGGTCTATACTTGGATATATTGTTCTAACGATGATCTGATTACATTTTCAGAATATTGTGAGGCAACTGTGCACATGGAGAGATATGATGGTTAGTTATAATACACAAAGGCTTCTTAAGTTTAGCTACTATTTAAGAACAGTTTTATTACTGTAAATATCACTCTTTGTCTACTTGAGTTAGAAGATTGCTTTAACTAAATTTGCAAATTAGTAGATGGAACAGAATTTCACACCCTAAGTTCATAGTCATTTGAGAGATGTCAACATGCTTCTTGAAATTATGGTAACATAATTTCATGCAATTAGACATAATAAAACCTTGAGTAATATTGGACAAAAGAAGTGGAGGTTAACTAAGTACAGTGAGAATTGCTTTTATATGTTGAAGTTTGTTACAATTGAAAATACTTGACATTTGTTCAGTTATTAATTGGTGATAATTTGTCAAGTTATTATTGATACTAATAGAAGTATTTAGGCTTAAATTTCTTTCTGCAATAATTTATCCCCAAAAGAATCTGCAAAACTAAGTAACTATGTCTATAATGATAATGAACTAAATTGATTTATCAAGATTCTGTTGATTGCTGCACAATTTTTGATGTAGTGCCGAACGTATTCTATTTGATGTCAGAAAATTATATTTTAGTAACATAAGCTGATTATTCTGTGGTATGTTCATCCTTTCAGGCTCGTATTCATGATGAGAGCTTAAAATATGTACTGTCAGACCAGGCGATTATTGCTTTGGCAAGTCAGCCTCCAGAATGTCACTCTGAAATATACAACACCATAGCTCAGACTGATATCAATGTGGAAATGGGTCTCAACTCTTTCATCCCTTCCCCTTCTCCTGTTGTTTGCAGCCACCTTAGTGATATCTATCAGCTTCTTTTAAATGAATTGGTTAACAATGATGATATTTATTCAGTGATTCTTCAGAAGTGTCTAGGTCAAAATGGGAGTTGTCCACTTTCTATATTTAATTATGCTTTATTGGTTAACAGTAACCTGAGACCTACTTTAGCCTATAAACACTCGGGCCTAAAAAATCCTAAACAATTTTCCCGGAAGGCTTCTCGAGATTTGTTTGTTCAAAAATTCTCTTGTAAATCTCCTGTTTATCACAATTGCCGGATATTTGCTAATGATGGGAGGCTGCTTTGTTATTGTGATAGGAAGAAGCTTGAATGGTTTGTGCACTGTTCACTTATTTTTATTCCATTTGTGAAAGACTAAAAGGTGCTGTTTTTCCATGATTAATGTTCAAATTTCCAGGTACATTAGTCGGGATCTCGCAAAACTTATTGAGGAGGACCCACCAGGTATAATGCTTCTTTTTGAACCCAAAGGCCGCCCAGAGGATGAAGACAATGATTTTTATATCCAGAGTAAGAAAAATATATGCGTTGGGTGTGGAGAAGGAAATCACTACTTACGGTACCGAATAATCCCATCATGTTACAGAATGCATTTCCCAGAGCATTTGAAAAGCCATCGTTCACATGATATTGTCCTACTTTGTGTGGATTGCCATGAAGTTGCCCATGCTGCTGCAGAGAAGTATAAGAGAAAAATAGCTGCTGAATTTGGGATTCCTCTCTATGTTCGCAGGGTAATTCATCCAGGGCAAGAGACTGAAAAACAGATTGAGGAGGGAGGTGTGTCTCCATTACAGTTACGAACAGCTGCTATGGCTCTTCTATACCATGGACCAAGAATGCCTCTGAATCGCCGTGAAGAACTGACTGAGGTTTGATCATATTTCTGTCTTTATTGGTTGCTAAATGACACATAACTACTGTAGAGCCTTACCTGTTGATAGTCAATTTGATAGTTTGAACCGAGCTTAAATGTGGTTATAAAGCCAGCTGCGAATGGATAAGTTTCTTTTATTTGCAGATTGTGAAGAGATATTATGGAGGAAGGGAGATATCGGAGGAAGATCTAGTGAGAGCTTTGCAAGTTGGCATGAGCCCTCATGAGAGAAGACGATTTGAGAAGAAGAGAGGGTTTTCTTTTAAACATTCCATAGGGAGTACTGCTGCAGAGCCAGAACAGGAGAATCATGCTGGTTGCACGCCCAAAATGAGTAAGGTGGATGCTTTGAAAGTTGATGCTCTTGATGATTCATATGCAAATGGAGATGATTTAGGAAACCCCTCTTTAGCTTCTGATCTTGCAGTTGATGGAGCTGTCTCTGCCACTTTAAATGGAAATACCATCGCAGATAAAACTACAGATTATAATGAAAGCACTGACTCTGCTGTACATGTTGATAATAGCTCTCTGAGCAGAAGGCAACCAAATGGAGTTAGTGACTTGTCTTATCCCCCCCAGGTTGAAGAATCGACACAAGTTAAACATAATTCAAAACTATCACTCTTGGGACATGGACCTCATGGTAAACAAGTTGTAGAACATTTACTGAAGGAGTATGGTGAAGATGGCATTCGAGAGTTTTGTCAAAGATGGAGACAAGTATTTGTTGAAGCTGTAAATCCACGTTTTCTTCCTGCTGGCTGGGATGTAAAACACAGGTATGCTATAATAATTCATTTTTCCTCTTGTTTACTTTCTAACTACTAATGGTCATACTTGCATCATTAATTTATGCTCAATAAACATATATTTCATATGATCAAGATATCTGTTATTTTGATCAAATCTGTAGGTTAGACTTATCTTCTATAAATATATAATCTTTCTTTTTGATAAATTGAGAGGTAGGAAAGATGAAGTCGTTGTCAATCAAATCTGTAGGTTAGACTTATCTTCTATAAATATATAATCTTTCTTTTTGATAAATTGAGACGTAGGAAAGATGAAGTCATTGTCAAGTTAATGCAAAATAGACTTAAATTAAGTTCATACTTCATAAATCACGAATATTCACAAACAAAATGCGGCTTTCACGTTTAGTCATTTACATTTGCTGTTGTTTCTCTGAACTTCGGTCTGTTTCTAAGGTAATATATGTTGCTTAAAGTTGTCATCAATTTCGTAAATATAACTATCTCTTGAGCTGTAACTTGTAAGGATATTTTTAAATCCAAGTAATTTTAAAAAAAGTATAAATTAAAAAACTATTTAAAGAAAAAACGTTTAAAATTATAAAAGTGATGCAGTAATTAAATCAGGTAATATATATGCACTTAAAATTATAAGAAAAGTACATAATTAATTTAAAAAATTGAGTTTAAAATTTGATGAAGTAAAAGAAAAATTAAAAATGATATGTTATTTTTCAGGAGAGATTAAGAGATGGAGCTATTTTTATGAGAGTGTATTCTAATTTCATATATAAGAATGAGATTGAATTCTCAGTTAACCTGTCAAAAGAAAAATCTATTGATGCTGGTTTTACTGCTATTAGGTAGTTATTTATGATGCACTTAACATACTAATATGTATGGCAACTGAATTATTATTCCTTTCCCCAAGGCTTTGATTTGGGACACTGTTTTTGCCAGTGGAAGGAGAGACTTCGGCGAGTTCAGCGTATACAATCCTGACAGAATAGTGTCTGCTGCTAGTTCGGAGTGACTCTGCACGACCTATAAGTAACATGCATATTTTCTATTTCAATGTGCTACTCCACTTCCTCATTCGGTATTTCCATGTACTCTTCTAAATAATTACATAACTGTAATAGGAAGAAATTACAAAAAACAAACATGTTAATCTCAATTAGTCGTCATTTTTTTTTTATTGGGTTTAATATTTCTCCAATAAGTTAGAGATAATTTTTTGTCTCATGCAAACAAATTAGAGTGGGTGAGACCTCTCTTTTCTCTTCACTCTTCAATGTGTCTACAAGAAATAAAATTATATGCAACTTACAAGGGAAATAAACAAAAGCACAGGTAGCTTGTAAGAACATTTTTGCCTGTGGCTTAATTATTCGAGCATATAAAATACAAGCTTTCTCATGAAATTACAATGGAACAACGTTGTGACATCTGTTCTCTAAACATTACGTCACAGTTTTCAATCGCCTCGAGAGTGTTTAATTGAAAACGAGGGGCAAATTCTATGAAGAAAGCACCTTACCTAAGTTCAGGTGCACAACCAGTGAAAAAGTTGACTATTGCTCTACACAAAGCTTTCTGAAGAATCAATACATTTAACAAAATAGATATATGTATCAATGGTAAATTTTTCGTGAAGGAGAATGGACTCTAGTCGTGTATTCATTGGAATTTAATCTTTTACATATGCGTGTAAAATGCCTGATGTAAGGGCCTGTTTGGTGAGACGTATAAAACCTGATAATATAAGCTTATACTATATATTATGACATTTTCAATTGTTTGATGTGACCATCGTATAGTATAAGCTTATACAGTAAAATTCCTTTATACATCAAAATAATGTATAACTTAATCAAGCCTAAGAGAGTAGGATTAAATCTGATAAGAGGTTAATGTATTAATGTTGCTTAAAAGTACAATTCTCAAGAACTAATATATCATTTCAATATTAATATATTAAAATAATTTTTTTAATATATTAATTTTTAAAATATTGGAAGATATTATCTTATACAATACCGTACCAAATGCAAAATAGTATTAAAAATTAATCAGATCTTATACTATCAGATCTTATCATATACTATATACCAAACATGCTCTAAGTTCTAAGTTGTAATGAGTATAATGAATCCGACAAGCCGGTTTATACCGTTTCATACAGATATTAGTGATACGGTTAAGATTTTAGAAAATTGTATGCTACGCATTTAATGGTAGGTACAGATAAAGCATTCTAGTTTTTCTTTTCATGTTTTGGATAGAATTGATGTAAATAAATTAAGTGTTAGATGGATCAATATGAAATTATGGTCCCGTTTTGTGCATTATAATATGATTTATCCTGATATTACATGAATGCTGGAGCTAAAATAAAATTTCAAATTACAACATAAACAACATTTAATAAGGCGGTCTCTTCATTTTCGCAACCAAATATCTCTTTTCTCTATATATGTAATCCTGTCTGACATCCACATCCGGAGCAAGTTACAAAATTTCCGTATAGTGCCACCTCCTAACGAGAAAATATACATCAAAAGCGTATAGACGATTGTTCACACCATTAAACCAAGGAATCTTCCAATAGAAATCTACATCGACACCATTAGAAATTATGTCAGGATAAAAAGCTTACCCAAGGGGTTAAGAAGCCGTACCAGTCAGTTAAAGTATTACCACAGTAAATTCAGTTACAGTGACAACAGCTGGGACTTGTGGTCAATGCCGTTGAATATGTAGGTTCCGGACATTGGCACGAATTGCCTTGTTATGAGCTGCGAGGAACAAAAGTAATATGATTCCTAACTCAAAAGATTCTATTATTAAATAGGACAGAAACAAAACAAAATTCCTTTGTGCATGCATTTGAGACAGGCCAAACCCTCCTTTATCCTAGTTTTGGGACTGATTATGTAAACATACACAAGAGTTTGGAATAAAGATATTCACCTTCACATGCACCATTCCAAGCCAGTTAGCGAACAACACCCTTATTCTCAAGTTTATAGATTTCATGGCATGACTGACGCCCTCACATCAATCCATTATCAGTACTGAATTGACTTGCTCATGAATTATTTAACAACCTCTCGTACCCCCAATTCTTCCAAAAGAATTTCAGTTGATGATGATCTCGTCAGAAGATTTTATCTGCTATTAATTTTGGGCATATACGCACCCACACAATTTTTATGTAGAGTTCTCATAAAAGCCATTACTAATTTCTTATATTGCAATGTCCATCGTTCACAAATGCCACTATTGAACTCTATTTTAATTTTCTTAAAAAATGTAAATGCGAACGGATAATTGGGAAAATAACGGATCTAGGTCCAGGTAATTGGGGTATGGGGTCAGGGCTTAAATCTGTTACCTACATGGGTTTGGATCTGGGTCTGGATACTTGGCCAAGACCCGGCCTATGCTCATTGGGTCCATCTAGTTTATGTTTGCTGCATAAAGGAACAAATTAAAAATTATAAAAAAAAAAAAAAAAACCTCCTCCACCCTCTCTAGGCCCTAGTGGAAAGAGCAGGGATCCTTGAAAAGGATGCGAAAATACAACAAATGGCCAAGTTCATGTATAAAACATAAAAGCTTGCAAACAATCCAAGAGAATAAAAGCTTGCAAACAAAACTATTCAAGTTGAGCTAGAATTGCAAACCTTGATCACTTCTTGCGATGCAATTCCTCCAACCAAAGCAGCAACAGCATGAAGCTCCGAAGCTCCAAATCGACACATCTCATTGATAAGGTCTTCAGCCAAAGTGGCACCATTGCATCCCAAGTCATTGAGTAGGCCAATAGCTGTGCTCTTTAATCGAGGGATATCCTCATCCATAGCACTGCAAAAGAATTACCATATAAGCAAAAACCAACCTCAATAATGAGTCCCATTATAAAACCAAGGAAAATATTTTGAACTTCAACAATGTGGGGCACTACCTATCAAACTGTCCAGGAAAACTGTTGTAGTTAGCAGCAAACCGGTCAACAGCACGAAGCAAAATATATATTCCCACAGCAATGCTGCCACGTATATAAACAAGAAACCAGCTTTTCAGCATGAAAAATCCTTCTCCACATACTAATTCTTAGAATGAATATCATCCAGAAGCATTAATTATAAAATGGACATAACCTGTAGTCCTCATCAGTTAGGTACTTCTGTAATTCGGGTAGGTTTGGAGAATTAAACTCATCTTCAATTAGACGGTACCTGCAAACCTACAAAATAAAGATTAGAATCTATACAGAAGACTTGGCAAACATCTACAATCCTGCAATTGCTCTAATATTAGACAAATGGCAGGGGCAGGAGAGAAGTTTGGGGGACAATAAGTATTTTGCAATCTTCTACTTGCCATGCTCAACTTACATGATATCCATTCACAACAACAACAATAATAGTAGCCATAATACTTTAACATTAAGAAAGAGATGTCGGAGCAATTTTCAAACCATATTTTTGGTTCCCAAAAATCAAAAGCACTGCAATCGTTTTATATATTCATTATATAAATCTTTAAAAGCATTTTCTACCCCACTTCCACATCTTCTTCCTCCACTACATCGTTTTCACTTTCCAAAACTTCTTTTTAAAAGACAATTTAATATTAAAAAAATTTATTTGTTTCATGTACAAGCATTCACAGAGCCGCACTCCCTAGCGATAATAGACTGCTGTTGCATTTGTGCAATATTATACCATAACATCAGCTTTGACTTTCTACACTATCAATTAGATTCAATATCCCATTTTAATGATGCAAAGGTTGGTGTTTTAGTAAAGTACAATTATTTTTTTAACCAGCTCAATAGAAATCTTAACTTGAAACAAACAGAAAAAGATAACTGCAGCATACAGATGGAATTAAGTAAGCAGTCTTTCAAAGAATTCATTAGAAGCATTGGCTTAATTTAAATCACACTTCAGAAAAAAACTTACGTAGGTTATACATAATCTCTATTTCATTTAAAAGAAAAAAACTTGAGAATGGTAAGTAAAAAAGACAGTCAAGTATACAGGATGTAAATCTAAAGGAACATTGTGGTTGCACATCATATTTACAGAATCAAGGACCTTATGAAACATTGAGATTTGGTAACTAAACAAATTTAAACAAATAATTATTCAAAAAAGGAGATTATTACACATTCATTATATGCAATCTAAATTGAACTTGATCTGTGACTTCACATGCTTACTTTGACTTTTCTTGCATTTTTGCAGAAGCTTCTAATTATTGCCCTTGGAATGCTATTTGAATCTCTACCAATTTTCTTCAAAGTAGTTTTTACCAGCCGTTCTATTACAAGAAAGTCAGCCTCCGCCTTAGCCTGATAGATATTTTGCAAATTCACATATTGCCTGTAGGACGGTAGATATACCTCAGGTAAATAGAGTAATGATCTTTATTTTATAGAGAAAATAAAAATTACTCCGAAAATAAGTGTAGAGATTTGGCTACTAACTCAGTAGAAGAAGTCATATCTGGTATAGATCCTTCAAGAGGTGCCTCGCCATCACCTTCATTTGCAATGAAATCCTGCAAAATGATGAGAAACTAAAGTATAAGTAAACAACCAAGAACACTAACACGAATTATAGTTCTCCAGTTCAAAACTGAACAAGTAGTCAAAGGTTCAAAGTGACAAACTCTTTAACAATTTTCTATAATCCTCCAATCTTTCAATTTCACAAGTTCTGACTAATTACCATCCAATAAGAAAACTTATTATAATATCAAATATCACAAAAAAATTTCTCCACATCAAAGTGAAGCCTACTGTATCTGAAGTCTGGTCAGTGAAGCAAAGCCAGAAGCACCAACCTTCAGAGCTGCCACCAACACCCAAAAATCTGATGAACTAGTGTCAACTTCAGCAGAACTATCATTTAATATCTGTTGCAACTCCGAACCTGAAAAAGTACATAGCATTAGAGAATAAGTCTCAAAATCTTGATTGGACTGGGGGTGTAAATGTCCACACAAAAGCCAAAGTTCTTGATATTAACAAATTTTTTAATGAAAAAACCATCCTTAAACCAGTGTAAACACATTCTTCCATAGCAAGTGTGGGTCGTCTCCCATACTTTCATAGGAAAAATATGAAAGTTTACATTAACAAATAGACCTTTGGAACCTTAATATAATATTACATGACATTTAAAAGAAGAGTTAACAGTTTTCTTTAATCTTATTTGTCTCCCACCAACCCTTCCAAGGATCCAATAAAATTTAAACCTCCAAATAAGCTCACAAAAAATAATACATTCTTATGCTTCTTATCCAAGAAAACAAAAAGGATAGAGTCATTCACAAAATGAAGATTGGCAGAGGCAAAAGTTACCATCAATTGATCTTAAATTATCTACTTACTAATTCCTCGGGAAGCAAATACTTTGAATGAGGACTCAATAGCTTCTTTATAATTATCTTCATCTTGTGCAACCATCCCAGCCTTAAGAAGCTCCTACATAGTTCGCATCCAAAGTTAATCACATAACTAGAACAGCAGTGGATGAAAAGGCTAAATGATTAAACAACGAACCTTGAACTCCTTTTTTTCTTCTCTGGTCGATGGAAGCCTACCATCGTGGCTTTTGGCCCACTCGTCAGCCATCTTGACAAGAATGACAACATAAGGTATGTGCTTATGAGCCACAGGATCTTCCACATTCAAGTCAATGCTCTCCGCAAACCTTTACACAAGCAATGAGAACATCAAGTAGGACTGTGAAAGGACCATGTCTATGGTCTCAGCTTTATAACAATTACACAGATTGAAGGGTAAAATTAATAAAGGCAATACCAGACCTTCAATATAAAGGAAATTAACCAAAAAAATAAAATATAGCAAAACATCTCTATACCTCTTGAGTTCAGGCCAAGGATTATTTAACCGGAGATCATCCAAATAATGCTCAGGCTTTGACTCAATCACAGTATGTTCCTAACAAAACCAACAAAAAGTACTAATCAACCAAAGCATACAAATCATGTAGATATTCAATAACATGTTTATTGTTTATAACAAAGGTATTTTCAGCTTTCTAGTTCATATATATGACTAGAAAAGAAAATTACACAACCTGATAGTCAATTATTGCAATTCTAGCCTTTATATCCCTCCACTTTTTAATACCACTTTTCAAATAGCCACATTCAATTATTTTTATTATATCTCTTTTAATATTTACACGTCAAATATCAGAATAAAATTACAATAGTGATAAAAACTAATATAATGCTTCCCCAGGTTTCAGAGTATTCCTTGAACTTGTGACATCAAATATACTGTGAATACAAAATTATCCATTTAACAAACTACCTTCAAACTAATTCGAACAAACCCTGTAAGGCCATAGGAGCGAGCAAAGATCAATATAACATTCGCCTCCCTGCAGATTCTGTCAAGCTTTATCATTGAATTTTCCACCAGCTGAAAGTTTATCAAAGAGTAGCATCAACGAGATTTCACTTGAAAATAATATGTAAAACAATATGCTTTTTTTAAACTGAATTTATAATTGAGATATATTATCAATTGATAGGTTTCCTTGTTGCAGAAAGATAGATAGAATATCATAATTTTGAATGGCACATAATCAACTATTGCACCAAATCTCCAAGTGAAAAGTCTTTGTCCTATAGAAGTTGTTAGCATTATAGTAAAATACCTGTGTGGCAACAACCAAAGTAAATTGAGAAAAGAATGAAGGATTTTTCTCAATCAATTCTTCCGGATACTCTTCTACAAATTTTGCTTTAACTGCATCATTCAGCTCTTGAAGAAATGAGCATACACATTTTGCCTTTGACTGCCCAAGGCTTGATTCATCCACTACAAATAAGAAAAAAAATGAGGACTAAAAGAGACACATAAACACAAAACAAAAAAAAAACAGAATGCAGCAATAAGATATTGTACCCAAAAAATTGTTTCCAAGGTCACCCACTTCAACTTTAGATCCATCAACTACAGTGATGCTTCCAACTCCACCAAGAACAAGATTCTTAAGAGTTTCAGAACCAGTAGGACCACAGTTTAGTAAGCAAATACTAGACCTCTCAAGAGCTGCCTGTCCTTGGTCACCCCATATTCTGCATTTTCAATATGGATGAGATGTCTTATAGATTGTCCCCTCATAGAAAGAGTGAAGAGAAGCTAGTGTTGAGAGGAGAGAGAGAGAGAGAACACGGTTCTTGTGTAGTATGTTTCTGATGTTTATTTCTGAAAGTGAATCTCTCTATAGAACCAGAGAGAGAGATATTGGCAACAAGATAAGCTTACATAGCAAGCTATCTGACCTAACTAAACAAACTTAACAGATAACAGATCTGTAACTAATCTAACAGATCTCAACTAAACAGAAACTGATTAATCGAGCTTCAACAACCCGGCAGCTCAGCAATATACTAACAGTAACAAAATCTAATATCAGAGAAGCTAATAAAAAAGACATGTTCTACCCTAATACAAACAGGAAGAAAAAAAAGTAGGACGAGCAGATAGAAAAAATAAAAAAAATAAGTTCATATGTCAGAATACATCAAATTCAACCCACACACAAAAAGACAAAATCTCACAACAAAGGAAGCACTGAGCTACGAGTTAAGAAGGAGAACAATAGGAATCAATTACAATAGCATGTAAAACAAAGCTCAAAAAACTAGAATGATCGTTGCTCAACCTCTTTTGGATAACTCAATTCCCTAGCAACTGAATTCAAAGATGCAACTCAGACACAGAAAACTCAAGTCCAGTTCATTCATAGTTCAACCAACTTTATCGAAATTACCAAATCCCTAGCACCGTACAACAGGACTATAAACAACATTGAGTGGACTTCGAGTCATCATCGACGCATTCAAGTTATTAAAAGTAGTAGATTCTCGCTGAACAAACAAACACACACGACACTTGAATCAATTCATAGAACAATTGATAATCCATATATTCAATTATTTACAGGAGAAAAATCAGTTCTCTGCGCCGTAGGATTTGCTATGTTAGTTAGTTAATTAGTTCAGAAAATAGTAGTTAGGGTAGGGCGAAGTGAATGCGAGAGGTAAAGTACCTGAGTTGGCGATCGTATTTAACTTTGGGTTCTGCCATTGTTGAGTTGAGACCTTTCTCTGTTTTTTCTTGACACTAGCTTGCTTACAACTAACGCTTCTGTGTGTACGTCTCTGCGGATCGCTTCGGCTAGTCTTGCCAATGTGGGTTGAGCCCGGGTCAACTCGTGACAATGGATCGAGTTGGGTTGAGATTTTCAATCCCCAAATTATCTTCAACTCGCCCCATGGTAAAATGAGTTTAACCTGCTACGGGACAGGTTGAGGCGTTGAGTTATAGTTATTAATTATATTTTTTTATAATTAAGTAATATTTTATTTGTCATTAAATTTTTGTGATATTCAAAAAAATTTATCTTAATCCTCCCTAAAAAAATAAAGAATAAAAACTTTATTTATGACAAATATTATTTATATATGGAGACAAATGAGTTCTTAAAGAATGTTTAACTGAATATTAGTATATATTTAAGGGGATAAGTTATTCTACTTACCATTTTTTCTGTCTACTTTTGCCTACCATCCTCCAACACTATTAAATCAGAATCTCAGGAAGAGAGGGAAAAATAAATGTTAGTTAAGAGTCTGATCTAATGGTGTTTTAAAGTGGCAGACAAAGGTAAGAAGAAAAATGGTAGATAGAATAACAAATCCTATATTTAAGATTGAGATTGGAAAAAATTAAAAGGAGTATGAAATAAAATTAAATAAAATTATAAAATTAATTTATTTTTGAATTTTAATTTATTCTTTTTAATTGAAAACTCGCTGACCCATCTTAAAAAGTGGTGCGTTCATTTTTTCAAACCATATTCAATGGCAGGCCAACCCACCCCGTCCCGTTGCGGAACAACCCATATTGCCACCTCTAGGCTAGTCGATGGCAAAAGGATATTTAACGTGAAAAGTTCAAGGACTTCATTTTAAAATTATTTTAACAACTTCAAATTACCAAATTTATTTTTAATTTACAACCATTTTTATTGTAACAATAACTAGGGGTGTAAATGGACTAGACGGCGTATCAAGGGCCTACAACCTGGCCTGCTTTGTTTTTTAAATAGAATAGATTTAGGCTTTTAGAAAAGTCTATTTAAAATTAGGATATAGACTCACTTTAAAAAGTCTAGCCTAAACGTCTGTACGCTTGCCTTTTAATTTTCTAATAATATAATATATTTATGATATATATTGTTCACTTAAAGACATTTTCTGATATTGTAATACTAATTTTTTATTTATGTTTTTGGTAAGATGAGAAAAAAGACCCACAATACAAATCATATAATACAAATACGACGAGTTCTACAAACAGAAGCTAATACTGCATCAAATAGAAGACCAATTCCAAGGGGTGGGGAATTAAAAATACACATATCATCATAGTTAACATTCACTAAAGGGAAATTTGCAAGCCAATCCGTTCAAAAATTGCCTTCTCTATAAGTGTGAACCAGTTTAACTCTCCAATCCTTTCTAATCCATGTCTGTATTCGAGACACCATATGATTCTCGCGGACTGCATCACCATTCTTGGTGAGTAAAGCAATTGCTGATTTAAAGTCACTTTCTACTATTAAGTTTCTCCAACCATCTTCCCAAGCCAGTTCCAACCCTTTAAAATACCCCAAAGTTCAGCAAATAAGGCGTTGCATATCCCAATCCTATAAGCAAATTCTTTTATCCATTGACCAGCTGCATTTCTGTACACCACCACAAGCTGCCAAGCCTTGAGTACCCTTTGCTGCTCCATCAGTATTCAATTTTATCCAATTTTCTTTTGGTGAATTCCAGCAAACCAAAGTATCTGAATGGGTCAATTCTGAATGAACACTGTAAAATTTGTCAAAAGCATCCTGAATTTCCCTCACCTTTACTGCCACTGTGTTTGCTTTGTATTGCTGGTTATTTGTTGAGGTTGGGGCATCATGGATCCTCTCATTTCTCCACTTTCAGGCAAGCCAACAAGTAGTAGCAAATATAGTGCACCAAGGAATGTTATCTCTAACATTGCTTACCTGTGACATATTAAGCTCTATCCATTCCCACAGGTTAACAGAAAAAAAGAAGAAGAAATTATGCATGTTACATGGGACCAAAGTTGTCCACACTCCATGAGTATATCTACAATCTCTTAGTAGATGAATGCAAGTCTCACAATGCTCCCAACATATTAGGCAACTTGGTGACCCAATGTTGAAGGAGCTAGGATGATTTTTTGTTGGAAGCTTATTGTGAAGCACTTTCTAAAGAAATAGCCTAATGACATGAGAGCTTTTCCATTTCCATATTTTCCTCCAAAGAGATGAATTTTCTTGCTGCCCTTCTATTTTTTTGGATAAAATTTCATAGATACCCTTAACAGAAACTTTTGATGCATCCTTTACATTCCAATGCATATGGTCTGCTCCATTGTAAGATTCAATGGGTGTTGAGGTATACTAAGCCTTAATAAAGTATTAAGTATTTACTTGGGTTTAATGGTTTAACTAACTATAATTAAGGGTTTAAGAATAAGGTGTGAAATTATGTTAAGACTTGTGTGGTATGGCATGAACTGTTAATGAGAAGATTGATTAAGAGAGTTACCAAGTGGATAATTAAATTAACATGTGAAATGTTAGTTGCTTATGTGTCAATGTGCAGCCCTCTCCTCTTGTTGTGCAATCTGTTCCCTGCAACTGTGTAATCAATGTGCGCATTGATGCATTATCAGCTTTTTCCATGAAGTCAATCAACTCTATAGTTTGAGCTGCTGTCTTCTTTTCTATGGTCCCTCCAGCTGCACCATTGACCACTATTCTGGATTCTGGCGTCATTCCGTTATAGAAGACTCTGACCTTCTTTCCGTCCGGCAAGTCATACTGGGGACACTTCCTGATCAATTCTTGGAACCTGGTCCAAGCTACACATAAAGTTTCTCCCGGATGTTGAGTGAAGTTGGTGATCTCATTCACCAACTTGCTGTATTTCTTCCTGGAGAAGTGCTCTGCAAAGAATTTAGCAGCCAATTCATCTCATGTTGTGATGTTGTTGGGGGCTTGTCTATCCAACCATCTCAGAGTTTTCCATGTTATAGCAAAAGGGAATAGTCTGAGTCTAATTGCATCATCGGACACCCCATTATGCTTGGTTGTATCACAGATTCTCAGAAATCTCTCCATAAAATCATGGGGGTCTTCATAGTCTTTTCCGCCAAATGGATTTTTCTCAACCAAGTTTATCAGTGCTGGCTGGATGTCAAAATTATTGGCGCTGACTGGTGGTCTGATGATGCTTGAATTTGGCTTGTAAACATTGGAGCCAAGATTGACTCCATCAATTCCTCCGCAGGAGGTTGTTGATTATTAGCGGCCATCTCAGGTTCGGCTTTCGACACTGAACTCGAGGATTCCTCTATCTTTCTGGCTCTGGTTTGCTTCTGATTCGTCTTAGCAGTCTTCTCGATTTCTGGATCAAATTGTAAAATTTCCTTGTTAGCCTTACCTCGCATAAAAAGAAAGAAATCTTTTAGTAACAAAAGGAAAAAGAAAAATTCCAATCTCAAAGATCGAAAGTTAAAACTAATATTGGCGTATTCAATCCCCGGCAACGGCGCCAAAAACTTATTGCGAAATCAGCAAGTATACCGATCGTTCCAAGTAATAAAGTGATAAGAAAAGTATCATTCCCACGAGGAACGAGGCACCAAGTACTAGCCTAATTATTCCCTTTAATTTGGAACAGAAAAGTTGTTTGTGTTGTGAAATAATTGAGTTTGGAAATTCCAAAACAAAAATTAAAACAATTAAATTTAAAAACAGAATTTAAATAACAGTGGACTTTGAACGCATGCAAGAAAAGATCAAGAACGCGAGAAAAGATTGATGAAAAATTCGTAAGAAAATTGTAGCCAGGATACACTTTACCTCCGATCCTCCCCTATATTCCTATATTGTATTTTATAAATAATTAATTCGTTTGTTCAGACAATTCATTATTTCCCTATAAATTAGTTGAACCCTAATGTCTTAGTGATTTCAACCCTTTAACCCAATTAGAACTCTAATGTCTTAGTGATCCTTCTTGAATTAAGCATTAAACAAATGAATTATGAGTCTGCAATTTATGTGAGCCTATATCTAGATCATACACAAATTGTTATTCTACTGCTGTCCAGATTAAAACCCCAATATGTCTATTGTGAATTCTAACCCTCAAAGCCCTATAATTTAGAGTGGCCTATTCTAAACAGGATAGGCAAAAATTAAACCAGGTAGAATAAAACAAACTAACTAATTAAATTATAAAATATCAATACAGGAAATATAAAAGGATTCACATCGGGTCTGTGATCCCAACTACATAAAGAAATTAGCCAGACATGTTCATGTCTGACTTAAACAAATAAAAAGAAAAATTGTTCATAAACTATAAAGAAGAGAAGAAGAAGAATAAAAACTCAATGTCTTCAGCCTTCAACTACCGTGGAATCCTGATCTTCAACGCGAGTCTCCAAGAATTCTCTCAATTCTCTGATCCTCGCAATTTGCTCCAGCCAAAGATTATTGTTTATGGGAGTCTAAGCCTCTATTTATAGACTTTGTGTCTTGCTCAGATATCTTGATTAAATCTTCGTCGTAAATCTCAGTGTGATCTTTCTCTGATTCAAAACAGGATTGACTTCTGATTTGTCTGCATCTCCCACGCTACTAGCGTGGTTCCCACGCTGCTAGCGTGGGAGTTTTGTTCATAATACTGGAGCTCCACGCAACTAGCGTGGTTCCCACGCTGTGAGCGTGAGTTTCACGAAAGTATGGCGCTACTAGCGTGAGTTCCACGCTAGTTGTGTGGATATCTCGGAATGATTTTGAATTCTGGCGCTACTAGCGTGAGTTTCACGCTAGTAGCGTGGTTGTCTCTGTCTGAAAAGTCTTCTTCACGCTGCTAGCGCCACACCCACGCTATCAGTGTGAGCCTTCAGTTTGGTAATTTCCAATTTGGGTCCAGTTTGTCTGTTTTTCCTATGAAATCAAAAGAAAATCAGTATCACAATCTTTGATTGAGATTTTAACAAATCAACAGTAAATACTGCCTT